AACAGTGAGTTTGGTACTAGCTGAAATATTTTGCTTGTTAAAAAGGCCTTGGTGTGGGCCTTTCTATTTTCTGTCCCTGTTACTCCGTGTCACTGTGACATCTCACTGAACTCAACTTGCTCATATGTGAGGAGCTGGAATTCCTGTAGGAATGACTTTATGTGCGTTGTGCAGACTGCAAAGAGAGATTGATGCTCCAAGGGCTGGAGCACCTCTGCTCTAGAGACAGGCTGGGAGAGCTGGGGCTGTTCAGCCTGGAGAGGAAAAGGCTCTGGGGGGACCTTACAGCACCTTCCAGGGCCTAAAGGGGCTCCAAGACAGCTGGAGAGGGACTTTGGACAAGGGCCTGGAGTGATGGGATGAGGGGAAATGGCTTCACACCGAAATTCTTCCCTGTGAGAGTGGGGAGCAACTGGCACAGGTTGCCCAGGGAAGCTGTGGATGCCTCATCCCTGGAAGTGCTCAAGGCCAGGTTGGATGGAGGTCTGAGCAACCTGGGCTAGTGGAAGGTGTCCCTGCCCATGGCAGGGGGTTGGAACTGGATGAGCTTTAAGGTCCCTTCCAACCCAAACCACTGTGATTCCAGCTCTGCCTGCTGGAAGGAGCCACACACACCCACCAAGCTGAATGAAATTTGGTTCTACCCTACAACACACAGTGATCAGTGAAGGAAGGACAGAGTGAAGCTGGGAGAATTCATGAAGCTGCTGGACAAACCAAAACTGTTTTCACATATCTAAAGGAAAACAATGGGCAGGTGTTGTCATATCAGCAAGAGATGCTGCAGAAATCACTGTGATTATAAACATCACTGGGACCAGAGAGCCTTGATTGTTAGGCCACATCCTCTGCTTCTCTCCAGTCCCTGTCAATAGGCTGCAGTGGAATCACTCCCATATTATGCCAGTTTAAACAAACTATAGCTTTACATTTAAAAAAAACAAAAAGAGTACAGCCTGCTTCCCAGCCCTCTGACTTCCCTCTCCTCAGCACATTTTACACAGGCTGAGGGACCATCCAGTTTTCCTTCAGTAGAGGACTTACCCACTTCTCACTTGCTTGACACAGGCCTAGTATTTTCCTTGTCCAAAGTCCAAACACTGGCCATATTCAAGACCTGCCCAAGGGTTCCATGGGAGAGCTGAATGCTCATATTAGTGCCAGCACCTCTTGCACAGACAGCTGCTTTCCACACTCAGCCTCCACTTAGGCTTTGCAGGCAGGATCCTGACCATGCCTGCACAAATTGCTCTCTGAAAACACAGCCCCCTGCTCGTCATTCCCGGAGCAGACCTTGTTGCCCAACTGTTACATGGAAGTCCTGGAGTTGCCCCTTGCCTATGTGACCTGAACACAGGAATGCAGGGACGTGGGGAAATCGGAACGTAATTCTCATTGTGAGAGTCTGTGGCTCCCTTCAGCGCTGAACAACCACATCCACTTGCAATCCAAGCTGTCTGGACTGGGATTTCGGAGAAACTATCAAATACTTCCATTTTCTTTCCTGCCCCTCCTTCAATCTTACCCCATGTGTCACTGCTGCTCTGCAAGGAGGCTCTGCCAGCTCATCCAGGCTGGCTGTCAGCCCTGTCCTTTGCCTTTTAGCTTTAAGGAATGATCCCCTGCTGCTGTCCTCTCTCTGTGTTTCTTTAGGCCATCAGCTGTCTTTTCTCCTCGCTCCACTCACCTTGCAAGGCTTTTCCATGAGAGGTAAGGAACACTGAGGAACAAAAATCTGGTTTTATCCAGCTGCTTTCAGTGCTGCACGTGACTGTAGCTCTACTTCCTACAAGCAGCCCTTGGAGAGGTTGGAGCAGGAAGGCACAACCCAGGGCATCCTGCACCTCAGTAATTGCAGGCTGGATAACCTGAGAGGAGGCTGCACCAGCCTGCTCTGTCTGACACGTGCACCAGCCACAGCACCAAGTCATCTGTCATCCCACCCCTGGTGCACCAAGTCATCTGTCATCCCACCCTGTGTCACCCAGCACGTCCCGGCCACGCTCCAGACATTCCCCTTAATGCTCATCATCCTCCCTGATTCCTGTAATGACCCGATCAGACGTGGTTCATCCCACCTGATTTACACCCAGGGTTAAAGACCACGGGCTTGGGGATCTGCAGGAGCCAAGCTACTCATCCCACAGTGCCAGATGTGGGAGAGGTTTCCCAGAGTGAGCGAAAGCAGCGCAAGGGCGGCTGCCCTCGAAATTGTGCAACACAGAGATGAAATCCAGGACAGGAATGTTGTTTAGATGAAAACAAGTTCAGGAAACTTATACCTCAGCTCAGCCACAGCCCTCTTGTGTACATCGTGCTTAGTTAAACCCAGATCAGGGTAAAACCCCACCGATGTCAGAGGGCTGCTGTTTGCTCTTACTCACACCAAATTCCGCAGGGAATTTCACCGGAACGTGTGTTACTGCAGCAAAGACACACACCCATAGTTTTCTGAAACCTCAGGCTAAATAATCCTGTTCCTGCATTCTCTCCCTCTTCTCTGTAAGAAAATGTCTTGCTAGTGTTTGCTCCGTGGACAGACCTGCGAAACATTTCTTTTGTTGGCTTTAAAATCCATTCCCCAGACTTTTTCAAGGTATTTTCATTCTTAACCATCACTTGGACCGCGGCCAGCGAGAAACATTCACCTCTTAAACTTTACAGCCTGGTACCATCCTCGCCTTCTCCTGCTCTCCCCGAGCTCTGCTTATCTTGGTGTCACTGAGGAATGCAGGGCTCTGCCCGAGCATTCCTGCGGGCAGAGGGGCTTTGTGCAGCCTTGAATCGCCCCCGGGGAGGGGGCGTCTGGTTCGGCTCCTTATGCATCACCCGTGTGAAAAGGCTGACAGAAACGCCTGCTTTTACTAAACACGCCCTCAGGTTGCCGCTGAAACTCTTAGAAAAGCAGAAAAACCCGGAGCAGAATAAAAGGTGACATGAGAACAGGCCAAAGTGGCCCACAAAGGGGAAATCTCTGCCCGCTGCTACCAGATATTGGAAAGAAAGTGGTGAGAGAGGGCTGCTGCCTGCCCTGGGAAACCTTCACCAGTACCTGGGCAGCTGCTTGAGATACAGCACCATATTCCAGATGATGAGAGTTTCCTGGGAAGGTACAACACCTGCTGCAAAAACTGAACATCCAAAAAGCAGAAACAAAGCCGGAAGATAAAAGTAACAAAAGCTCGTTTTCCGAGGGTGCTCTGCCTCTTGCAACAGGTTCTCTGTATCGCTCAGAAATCAAGCGCCCCTGGGCAAACAAAGCCTCCACCTCCACTGAAATGAGAGGCTGCTTTCCCAGTCTGACAGTCTGCTTGCCTCCAAAACGAAGCCAGTAAGGTTGAACTCATTAAAGTTAAGGCAGGTTTTGGCTCACCGGGTTTCCTGGAGGGTTTTTTTTAAGATGTTAAAAGCAATAAGACAACCAATAACCCTAAAATAACCACTGAAAATTCGTTGTCTGTAAATACCCAGCCAAAGGCAGCAAACACAACACCGGCACTTCATAGCCCAGGGCAAAGGCAGGCCACCTCCCTGCGTTCCAGCTTCCCAAAGAGGAGCAGTGCAGCAGGTCTGGGAAGCCACAGGGAAGGCAGGAGCTGGACTTTCCTCCTCTTACAGCAAATTCTTCAGATTTTTTTAACCTGCCCCACCGTGCCCTTTGAACCCCAGCAGGCAGTGCAGATCCTGAGGTACCTGCCGTGGTGCACGTGCGGGCCTGCACTGCCCTGCTCCCAGTCCTGCCCCACCAGGGTTAATATGGGATTAGCCCCTCATCTAGGAAACTATTTGTCCTGCCCTGGAGCTGTTCCACGGGGGAACAATATGTACCTCTCTCCAAGGGAAGGGCAATGGCTCCAGGGAGTCCTACTGAAAGGCCCTATCTCCCTCTGGGGATGTTCTGGTGTTTTTCAAGGCTCTCTCCCCACGCAGATAATGAACCACACGTCCATAGATAAGCTCTGAGTACATGTGCACAGGCAGACTCAAGGTTTTGGGGCAAGACCTTTATCTGCACTTTAGCACCAAAGTGGGGCTGTGCTGCCTGCACATCAGGGGTCTGCTTTGTTGTCCTGATAAAGGGAAAGCACTGACTACTGCTCTCCTTGGACATTTTACTAATCAGTTGTCTTACAGCAGCAACTGAACAGCCACCCTTTTGCTTTTGCTTTGGAAGGATCTCTATCAATTCACCCCTGCCTGGGATACTGACTTTATTCTCTGCTCTCCATCAGCCCAATTATTATCCTGAATTGTGGGAACGCTGACAGACCCAGCTCAGGGCAGGTCCCTTGGTTGGGAGATGGTTCACGTTTTCAATCCCACTTTTCCAGCAAAGGACGAGCTAAGTAACGGGAAGGGAATTCTCCCAAGCCATGTGGAACACAGATGCAGAGCAGGGAACACAACCCTCGCCCAGCGGGACCGGGAGAGGCCTCCCAAGGCCGTCCCACGCGGGCTGAGATGCCGCCCACCCTCTCCATCGGCACAGAGAATTCCTCTCTGCAAGAGGAGCAGGTGAGGGTTTCACTTCTGACATTCCCTAAGGGCCTCCTTAGAAAAGTCATTTGTCCTGCACGAACATTTCTGGGATTTACTCCCAGGAGCGAGAGTCTTAGAGAGAAATTTAAACACTTGAAGCCCTTTATTGGCGCCTAGAGAGAGACCAAAGCCCGTGTCAGCAGACAGAGCCTCAGCTTTACATCATCCTGACCTGCCAACAAAGGGACACAACAATTCCCCTCCCTCCCCCCTTGTCAGGGGGAGACGTGAGAGTTGGGACTACTGACACTGATCTTTTTCCTTTACCCCCCGCCTCTGAGACAAAGACGGACAGGAGCAGCCCTGCCTGAGCGTTGGGAAATAAGAGCCCTCCCACCCCGCTCCCGCCAGGGCCAAAGGAGCAGGGAAAGTTGCCTGGAGCCGCCCCCTCTGTAGGCGAGGGGAAAGCTGGATGCGGGGGAGCGAGCCGGGAACAAACCTCGCCTGAGCTTGTGGGCAGAGCCGCGAGCAGGGAAGGCTGGGAACAGAAAAGAGGCATTTCACGCTCTCGGCTGAGTCACCCAAGTGTATAAAACCAAGGCCGGGCAGTCGGAGCCGCTCGGAGCGGAGACACGAGGCAGCGGGACTTTGGGACAGGTACGTGCAGGCGGATGCGGTTTAGAGGCAGGGACTAAGATTAAATCCAAGACTGGAATCCAGCGGTCCAATTCCTCCCATCCTCTCCCTGCCATGTGCTGCGGAGCACGGGATCCAGCGGCTCCGGTGACCGGGAAGCCCTGAGGCTGCTTGGCTCTGTCACGGTTCCGTCTGACAAAAAGGACGCAGGCAACCAAAATACACTGTTTTGGTGGTCCAGGATGTACTCTTTTGCTTATCCCTCCTTCAAACATGGGACGGCAGCAAAGGATAACAGTCCGGGCAAGACCTGGCACCATTCAGGGAACAGCAAGTAGCTATTAAAATTTGGAATAAGTCTGAGATATTCCATACTACGTGAGGCTTCGGTTACCTCCCTACGTAATATGTTTTTGGATGAGGAATGATCACTTGGATGCCTGGCAGCGCAAAAGACAGCTCAGTAAGAAAAGCACTAGTTTAGGGCTGGGCTTAATTTTCTCCAGTGACGCAGATTACCTGCGGGGCCTTTCACAAGTCATTTAGGACTTTTTGGTTCTCTTTTAAATGACAAAGACAAAGCTGGGGCGGGAGGAGGAGGGAGCTCAGATGGAACTGGAACACTGAATGTTTCTTGGCGCCCAGGCCTTTGGGGCCCTGGTCCAGGAGCGCACTCAGTCTCTGACCGCTTCCACTGAAATGTGGTTCAGGATCTGCATTCCCAGTACATCCTTTTCCCAGCAGCTGGGCTGTGCAATCTGTCAGCAGTGCCGGCTGCTCGGGAGCCCCGAAGTGCCTGCGGGGTCCCCACGTGGCTGTCACTCGGAACGGGCAGCACCGCCCTGGCAGAGCCCAACAAGCCCCGGGGCTTTGCTGTCCCAACTTCTGCTAAGGGAAGGAAAGCCCTTCCTAACACAGGAAACGCACTTTTACCTGCCCACTCCACTGCAACTCAGCCTAGTTTGGGCTCCTGTCCTTTAGAGTCGGACAGCCCTCCCCAGCCCTTGGATCCATACACTTGCTTTGCACAGGTAACCTCCCAGAGAACAATCCCTTGCCACGGGCACACCTGCCCTGTTGCTTGGGCATCGCCCCGTTGGAAAACTTCCCACTGGGCTGGCCAGACTGGACACCGCAGCAGGACAACCTGCTGCACTGAGGGTACTGGTGTGGGATACAGCTTGGTTGCTTCCTCCATGAAAAACTGTAGGCACACTTAGACTACGAGTGTGCGATACTTCTGTCCCCAAGGGTTCATGTTTACTTAGGCTTAATTACGGAAGAGCTAATAATTATCACTTATCACTGCTCGGATGTAAAAGGGAAGTATTTAAAAAATGTTTCACTTTTAAAGTGCTTGTAGTTGCCTGGAGGGATTTTAATTTAGCTCTTAACGTTGCGGTTTTGTTTTCCCACCCATCCCGAAACAAAACCCAAACAGATCTTGGAAATTGATTGCAAGTCACTTCGGAGAAGGATGTTTCCAGGCTTGCTCGTCCTCTCTCTGCTGGTGGGGAGCACAGCGGCTGGCCCGGTGAGCAGAGCAGAGCCTGCAGCATCCAGGGATGTCACCACCTTTTTCCAGCTGGCTCAGGAAGACCCCTGGGAGAACGTTAATCTCACCAGCATGTCCTGTGAGGATCGGAAGAACAGGACCTGGATCACCCTGCAGCTGACCAACAGCAGCCTGACAGCTTTCCCTGTCTGCCTTCCGGAGGCCCTGGAGACCTTGGATCTCAGCAACAACCTCTTGGAAGAGGTGAACGGCTCGGACATCGCGAACCTGCCGCGGCTGCGCGTCCTCTCGCTGAGGCACAACCACCTCTGGGCAGTCTCGTGGGGACCTGAAGCCCTCAGCAGCCTCCTCAAGCTGGACTTGAGCTTTAACAAGCTGTCGTCTGTGCCATCCTGCCACAACTCTGCCCTGCCCAACCTGAGGTGGTTGTCCTTGGCTGGAAATCCACTGCTGGAAATCCAGCCGCTGGCTTTTTCCTGCTCCCCTCAGCTGCAGATGTTGAATCTCTCTGCAACCCTGCTGGGGCAGGAGGACAGCAGAGGAATTAGGGAATCTGCTTTTGCCATCAGCACAGCTCCCAGGGAGGCCACGGACAGGCCTGGAAACTCCATCCATGTGCTTGATCTGAGCGGGACTTTCCTTGAGAAAAGTAAGTTTCTGGATTTCCCACTGTAAACACGGGGTTTGGTCAGGCTGGGGGAGCAGGAGCCTTGCTGGATGATGGGATGGTGGCTCCCATCCTGATCCAGCCCGGGGTGGAGGGGAAACACCTCACACTGCAAGCTGCAAACAGCTGGTCCAAGAGTGCAGGGCACTGCCACACAGACCAAGGGAAGGGCAGAGACCAGACACCACGAGACAGGGCTGTTTGTCCCAGCATAGTCACCCCCCTCCATCCTAATTCCACTGTCTGCTACTGACAGTCATCCTGCTGTCAGGCCTGGGATTAGTTTTGGGACACAGAGGAGGAAATTAATTTCTCTTTCCAGACAGGCTGCTGAAATCTTTCTTTGTCCCCACAGCTACTCTGCTTTGTACCTCTGCAGTGAGGGAGCAGAGAGAGAGGCTTTCTGTGTCAGCCACAGCCTAATACTTCCACACAGGGAGGCAATCCCTGCCCTGAGCAGTTTACAGGATAGTTTTTTTCCCTCTTACCAGCCCCAGTTTCTAACTGAGGTGCTGAGGCACACAGATGTTCGATGCCTTGCCCAGCTGCCCTCAGCCTGGGGCAGAGCCAGGGCCCTGGGGGCTCCTCAAGCCAGAGGTGTCACTGCAGCTCCCATTTAACTGATACACCACCACATTTCCTCCATTAATTTGCCTAATCCCTCCTGTGAGCAGTGAGTTACTCAATTCAGTCATGGGATGGAGAGGACCTTTTGTACCAGACTCATTCTTTTACTTTCATGCCTCTCGGCTGTTTTTCCTGTGCTAGGAGAAATGAGAAGTTATTTGCCTTTCTTGCACCGGGTCAGGGCTTTGTAGACATCTCTAATTTCCACCACTTCCCTGAGCAGAGAAATCCTTGTTCGTTTAATCTCACCTAAAAAGAAAGCTATTCCATATCTCTTACCAGCTTTACTGCCCTTCTATCTTCCCTTCTTTTTCTCTGCCCTGTTTTACATATTAAAAACCACACATATTACAAAATTACAGCTGCATGGGTGTTTATGCACTGCTGTATTGATTTTTGCTCTATTCCTTTCCCAAAGAGAGCAGCTGCAGAGGACGACAGAGATACTTCATATCTAGGAATTCAACCCCTTTTTCTAGGCAGAAACCCACAGGAATGCTCTGTTTACGTAACAGGTGTAAATGTTTTTCTGCTTCAGTTCAACCAGAGTGGACCAGAGACTTGCCCAACCTCAGATCCCTTCACCTGACAAAGATGCCACGATTAAGAAGCCTCGAGACTGACTTTGTGAAGTCCATGCCTGGTCTCCAAGAGCTGCACTGCCAGGACTCCCCTTCCCTGGGTTTTGTGAGGACAGAGATGTTTGACAGTGCTCCTCATCTGAGCCATCTCTCCTTTGAGAAGTGAGTTGGTTTCTTTTTTGTTCTCCCTCACATTAAACCTGCATCTTGGAAGCAGACAAAAATCCTGTCCATCCCACTTTCAGTGTGAGAGGTTAGCATAGTTCCTTGTTTAGAATTAGTAAAAGCAATGGTTTAGTCCTTATTCTAGAGGTAACAGCTCTTGGTATGTCACACCCCCGAAATACTAAAGAGAAACCAAAGTCTGAAAGTCACTTATCAAAATAGCACCGAGCAAGATTTCTATAATATAGGCCCAGGTTACAAGCACATCAGAGAACAAACATTAGAGCACTGGCTGTGCTCTAGGAACCAGTTTAAGGAAAATAAACCCATTTAAAGCAAAAAATCCCACTGGATTCCATCCCTCACTATGTCTAAGACAAAAGAGAGCATCTTCTGAGCACGGAAAGGGCAGGATGGTGATTTTAGTAACTGGCTACTGCCAAGGGAACTGGGAATACTGCTTTGTGCCTTACACACCCTGGGTACTGAGCACACTTCAGTCCTTGGAAGATAACTTAGCATTTGCTAATTATTGCATTTGTCATCTTGCAGCTGTAACCTCAGCTCCTTTAATCCTTGGGACACCAACTCCTCGGATGGCATCACCATCAACCTCTCTGGAAACCCTCTGTTCTGTGACTGCCAGCTCTCCTGGCTGCTCTCCAAGCCCAAGAGAGTTGTGCTGCAAAAGTAAGTGAGTTCGAGGAGATGAAATATTGCTCCTCAGAAACAGCTTCAATGTGTAAGTTGTCTGGGGACAACTATTCCCTACCACTTAAGTTATTCAAACTCCTTGTGTGTTCTCCCCTTTCACAAGAGGTAGAAATGCAAAATAAGGTCTCCTTCAGGAACAAAGCATAAAGTATTATTAGGTGTGGATTCTACTTTAAGGTGAGAATAATATTTTCTTTCTATTTCAGACCACATTTCTCTATTAGCTGGAGATAAAAAATAAGCTGGCTTGGTGGGCCAGCACTGGGAGCAGGAACTGGAAGACTATGCAAGATCTTTAGCAAATTATTCCCTCCTTATCCTGCCATTCCCAAAGCTGAGCACGGGCAGTCAACAAAACCCCTTGCAAATAGCACCATTTCTCACCTATTGTTTTCATGCTCTCCTACAGTTCTGTGGACTAATTACAATAAGCTGTAGTTAAAAGAAGTGCTTTGCATGTAAATGATCTCCCTTGGTTTAGAAAGACCACCAAGGAGATTTGTCATCAAATCTCTGAGACAGCAGGGAAGTAGAGTGTTAAAATTAGATAGTTTTGTCATCGGGATGGGCTTAGCAGTTGCATTCTTTACCAGAACTTCAATGTCTGAGTAAAGAAAGAACTCTTAGTCATCTAAAAGTGCATCCCGCGTCATCTCACCTCCAGCTGCCTAAACCAGCTGGTTTCAGGATCCTGGGGATCCTGTTACATCCCTCTGCATTGTTCACCTCTTAGTGTGGCATTACAGTCTGACCCTTTGGGACAAGCTGCCTTGAACTCTTGATAAGGTTCACAGCCGTTGTACCAAAGGATGTTTCCTCCTGGGGAAAAGATATTCCTGCACCTTACAAAACCAGAACCCCAGTCAGCTGAATTCCACAGCCAGTGCCATGGAGAGCCATCTGCCAAACACAGGACTATCATTAAGACAACTTAACTTTGGTCTAGGTTTGTCCTCACTAAAATAAAGACTGATTTCGACAGCAGGTTGCCAGTTGCAGTCCAAGCAGCCTAAGGAGCCTGCAGTGTTCTTATGGATCTTGACTATTCTGTCTTGTCCCCTCTGCAGGGCTGGGGAGACTTTCTGCACATCCCAGGAAGATGGGGGCAGACCTTCAACACCTGTTTCACTGCAAGAGCTCTACAGTAAATGCCAGTCTGGGAGCAGCAATGTCACACTGCCCCATTCAGACACACCCTCTCCTGATCATGATGCTCTCAGCTTTACCAGTTACGATGCCACTGCTGCGGTAACAACAGACTGGGCTCTGCTCTCCAGAGACACTTCTACCAGCTCCCTGCTCCTGGGGGATTTAATGAGCGCCACAGCCAGCCCAATGCTCACCAAAGACACTTCTACCAGCTCCCTGCTCCTGGGGGATTTAATGAGCGCCACAGCCAGCCCAATGCTCACCAAAGACACTTACACCAGCTCCCTGATCCAGAGGGATGCAATGAGCACAACAGCCAGTCCAACGCTGACCAAAGACACTTATACCAGCTCCCTGATCCAGAGGGATGCAATGAGCACAACAGCCAGTCCAATGCTGACCAAAGACACTTATACCAGCTCCCTGATCCAGAGGGATGCAATGAGCACAACAGCCAGTCCAATGCTGACCAGAGACACTTACACCAGCTCCCTGATCCAGAGGGATGCAATGAGCACAACAGCTAGTCCAGTGCTGACCAGAGACACTTATACCAGCTCTCTGATCCAGAGGGATGCAATGAGCACAGCTCTGCGCCCAACGGAGCCAGAGCCGATGCTCACAAAGGCCAACAGTTCCTCCCACCAGGAGGAGGCAGTTCCTGAATCCACAAGCAATCCCCCTTCCTTCGCGTCCGTAACCTCCTTCCCGGTTTTCCTCAAAGAGCTCTTTGCTCAGTTTGGCTCCACGAGTCAAACAGGAACAGAGCAGCCCAAGGGAGAGCTCAGAAGAACCGACATAACGTCTCCCCAGGAAGGTCCGTCCAGCCAGACCACCAGTCGTTATTCTGCTGGAGGAACAGGAACCCCCAACACCACTGACCATTCTGTTCACTCGTTTGCCAGCCCTGGTGGGGAGGGCACCCCACAGGGTACCCCACAGCCGAGCCCCCCACAGCTGAACTCAAAGCCCGCTCCCACCAGACCACCGGCACACTATGTCGACTACTACGACTACGATGAACAGCCGAAGGAAACCCCAGTGCAAGTGGGACACATCTCCTGTGACTACAACCCCTGCAGGCACCTCCAGAAGCCGTGCAGTGAACTCCAGAGTGTGTCCCAGTGTTTATGCCCGGGCATGTCGATGGAGGATGAGGTTCCAGACCCGCCGAGGCTCAGCGAGGTGACCGAAGTTACAGACAGCTCTGCCCTGATTCACTGGTGCGCCCCAAACTCGGTTGTTCACACCTATGAGCTGCTGCTTCTTGCCCCAGGCAACGAGGACAGGCAGTTTGTCATGGATAATATTTATCCCACAGCCAGGCAGTACACTCTGTATAATCTGTCACCATACACCACTTACAACATTTGCGTGACAGCTTCGAACAAAGCCGGGTCAAGCCAGATAACAGGCCAGGAAATTCCAGGTAATTCGTGCACCAGATTTAAAACAAAACCCAGCTACAAGTCTGTCTTTGTTGCTCTGTCTGCAGCAAGTGGATTCTTTCTCATTACCACGATTGTTTTGTCTGCATGTCTGTGTAAGGCATGTAAGAAGCCTCACAGTGAGCAGTATGGTACACACTTGGTCTCCTACAAGAACCCAGCCTTCGATTATCCACTAAAAATACAAACCAGTAATTAGCTCTGGGTTACTGTTTTGCACATTCAGAGCTCACTGTTTCCATCACCTTGGTATGTTTTTGGGAGACTCTCAAAGCATCTTTCAGCAAAACTATGAACAACCAGATTTCATAACCCTCCTGTTTCTGAGGGAGAGCAAACCACCAGAAAGAAAAACTAATAATGAAGGTATGGACCAGATAAAAGCCTCTGGACTGTGGTTCATGTGTTAAGCAGCAGCAAAGCTGGACACTAACCTTGAAAAGCTGTTTTTATAATCACCTACAAATAGAGTAGCATGAATTTCACACAGTGAGAGGCTCCCTGGCCAGCTGTCTGCCTCCAGTATCTCATGGACACAATCAGCTGAGAGCCATGATCCAAGGTGCATCTAGCTGAGCATGACACACTCTGCTTTTATTCACAGAGGGAAGTTGGGGGTTCAGTTTTTTAAAGGCATTATCCAAAAAGGGAGTGTTACTGGAAGGAGTGAGTGGGCTCGGTGACAAGGTGCTGTGCAGCTCTAACTCCATTAAGCAACTCCAGAGGCTGCAGCTGCTCAGCCTCACTTCAGTTCAGGAAAAAGAAACAAAGATTAAATGTAAAAAGGACTGTGCAGGATCCTTCGGGCAGGGATCATTGTTTTGTCTTGTCTTTGTGTGATGTTGGAGTCTCCCAAGTGCTTCCACAAGCAGTTCCCAGGCAGTGGGGGTTTGCAGTATAGCACTGACCCAAGAAGTGGTAAGGGGAGCATGGTAACATTTGCTTCCCAATGGATTTTAAGTAGAGATGGTTGTTCCATCCCAGTAATCCATCCCATCCCCAGATTTAGCAGCTGATTTACCTCATAGAGGCAAAAAGATGAGTAATGAAACAATTTAATGTGTGTGTTGCTGAGACTTGAAAAACCGAAATCCCATCCCCTGGCAGCAGAGAGTTCTGCAGACATCTCCCAGATTAATTTTTGGGTGCTACTTTCTGCTACAACGACAGTAAGAGATGCTGACAATCCCAGCTTTGAGCTTGCCGTTAAAATTCAGAGAGATGTTTGTGGAAGGGGAGGCATTTGTCCCGGTCAGATACTTCCCCAGAAGTTTATGTTCCAGCAACTGCTGTTCCTGCTGCTGTACAGACACTGTGTAAAGTCCCCCCAGACCTCCGAGGGAAAGGTGCTGTGCAGTGCAAGAGACTCTCTGTTCTGTTCTTTTTTAATGCTTTCAGTATTAACAGAAATAAAAGCTACAGAGCTGAGTTCTGGTTCTTTGTTAAAGACTTGGATCTTGGTGTTGTCTTTACCACCTATAACGTTCAGCCTGAGAAATTAACTCCTTTTGTTGTTTTGGAAGAAACTTCCAGCATTTAGTAAAGAAATGGTTTTTATGATGGTAAATTTGTGTTCTCTCATGTCCTAGGAGCTTTCATTTTGCCTGTGCAGAAGGTGGCTCTGCCATCCTCACCACTACAGGCTGGCAGCCCTTTCATGGGAGTTTGTGGCACTGGCAATGACACTGTCCCTGGACAGACACGGATTCCTGCTGTGTGTGTCTCCTGAGCTTGGCTGAGCCCCGTGACTCAAACTCACAATAGAAGGGAAATGCAAATGGAGAAGGATGGAGTCACCTTTCACTTTGAAAATCTCTTTTATTTTCACACTCTGGTAGTTCAGACTTGTCTTTGTTTGGACTGGTGTTTTCATATTTATTTCTGGGCTGATTTTCCCTGCATTTCCTGGAAGGATTAGCGAGCAGGCACAGATGATAGTCATTATTTCATCTGAAGTGAGCAAATGAGTCAAAGACTCATTTTCCCAAACTGGGGCAGAGATCATATATTCCCTTGTGTTTGTACAACACAGAGACCTTGGCTGGGGTATTTGGGTTTACCAGAAACAGAAACAAAGTGGAGCAAAGTAAGAGATTTGTGAATAGCAATTTATATTGTCTTGAAGATTAACCCTAGGGGAGGACAAAAAAAATAGATACTGCAACTGAAAATAAAGATTGTTTCAACTTAACTGAGAGTTAGTCCAAAGCAAGAGGACATTGCTTAAAATGAAATTTGAGAGGACACATCTAATTACCCTTTACCACACTGCAGCTCATAATCACTGAGCCAGAAAGCCACAAAGCACCAGAATTTGACTTCCCTGAGGATCAGTGACCAGGGCACACTCCAACCTGACACCACCTGGAAGTGCAACCTCACACCAACTTCAGTCTCTTGAACCTTTCCCATTGTGAGATTTGGGTTTGTCACAACTGATTTCTCTTCACTTTTTCCTGATATTTGTGCTAAGCTACAAGAAGTCTTACTTGGTTATATTACATAGACACTCTGAAATAATTTTTAAGTTACAAAAGCTTATGGCTTTGTTCTGCTGTACTTGAAAAATTCCAGCTTGGATAAAAAGAATCCTCCCTGTATTCCCACCCAGAACTCCTGTGTCCTGTAAAGAGCTGCTGCAGCTCAAGAACAGGCAAAATGACAATTATTCAAAAGAGCAACTCATTTAAGTCACAACATTTTCAAAGTAAGTATTCAAGTATAAAACCTTTTTTTGGAAACACTGCTATTGCTAGTTCTTAAAAAGGATGTAAACTTCTAGAAAAACTCAATCACCACATCATCCCTTCTAGGTATCTTATTGTAGCTGCATCTACTGATTTAGAAATAAAAATACAACAAGCAATATTTTAATCAATAGGGCAAAGTTATCTGGAAGCCCATTTTCTGGTTTCTACAAAATCCAAGCATAACTGCAGAAAAAAAAATGTCATCCCCACTCCCAACCTCAAACCCCAGAGCTGTCCTTGGAAACACGACTCATAACCAGTTTGGATATTTCCAGCATTTCCAATACTCCTAGCAGTGGAGTGAACTCTCACAGCGCTGTTGGGGACTGGAGCAGTGAGAACAACCAAGGGGCTGAACAGAAACTTTCCCACCCACACACACAAACACAAACTAGGAAACTCCCAGCTTTGCTCCGCCCGGTTGTTCCTCCCCCTCTTCCCCGTCGCACCCAACAGCAAACTGTTTGTACCTCCAGCTTCAAACACACCGACCTTTGCCAGCACGACTGGGGTAACCCATACACCTCTGAAACAAAAGCTATATAAAAAGCCAAAAATATAATTCATATTCTACTTACTGTTCTGCAGCTCCACTTGTCCCATGTCTGTGTGAGGGGAAGATCACTTGGGGGAAGCGCAGGGAGCATTTCAGTGCATTCTTTGGACAGCTTGTGTAGGGTTTTATCTGGCTTTTCTTCCTAAGAAGAAAGCCTCATCAAGATCCTTCTCCATTCAGTTGTCAGTGTTTTTCTTCTTTCCAAAGAACCAAGTCCAAGCAAAGCAAGTCCACAACAGCCAATGGTGTCCATGGGGGATCCCCGGGGTGTCAGGGCAGAAGTGAGCACTGCTCTGCCTCTAACAGCAGTCACTGAGTCTCATGGAGTCTCCCAGCAGAAACACTCCGGGAAAAGGAGCTGATCCCTGAAAAGGCCTCCATACAGGAAAGAAAAGGAGCTCTCCAAGGGCCAGAACCCTTGCTGGCTGTGAGGGAACAGAGAGGGACCACCCTGTTTTCAGTGCTGATGCCGAACAGTCATTCAGAGCAGCAGTCCCTGAGAGCCCTGTGAGCAGGTGGGTGGGAAAGTGCAGAACAGCAGCACCAAGTGCTTCAGCCCGATCCTGATCCTCCTCAGCGACAGAAGGGAGCCTGCTTTGGGGAGTTGTCCCAGGCCAGAGGGGTGACAGGCATTAAAAGGGCCAGCTGGGAGATGATGCAGTCCAAGGCAGGAAGCTCACAGTGCTCCCAGCTCCATCAGCCTTTCATGGAAGGATGCACAAGCCAAACCACCACACTCAGGATTGCTCCGAGGGCTCAGGATCTTGCTTGCCAAGAAGCCTCTGATTTCCTCTTTACCTGTGAAATACAGAGATATTTATCACAGGTGAGAACATGTTTTGTGTTTGCAGACAGAGATATTCATAAAAGAACATGTTTAAACTCCTGGTGCTTTTTCTTCTCTCAGCTCTGCAAAGGATGCAGTTTGTTCTGCAGCAGGACAATATATTACAAAGGTAATCCCAACCTCTCTGAAGAGTAATCAAGCAGCACAACAAATAACAATAATAACATTCTGAAATACGTTCAGGAAGCAATCCCTTACAGCAAGGCTAGTGTTCTGCTGGCATCTAGAGGGAGAGGGTAGAATCATCTCCCCAGGTACTCTCCCACATGGAAATACTCATCCTTTCACCACAGCACTCCACCCTACAGAGCAAGGCTCATTTACACTACTCATGTGCTCTCCCCGGTGCACCTGCGCGTCCTTCCCTACTCACACGGGAAGGGAGAGAGGGCAGAAGTGCTGAAAATTAGCAGCAGCAGCAGTCCCAGTCCCACAAACTGTTACTCAGCAGCTTGTCTGTCCCTGCCTCTAATTCTTTTTGTAGCCTTAGGACCAGGAATTTCTCTGCCAACTTGCCACTGCTAAGGAAAAAAATGTACATTTTTTTTTTCTTAAGAGCAAGGAAGGAAAATCAGAAGAAATCGAGTAAAAGAATGCCAAGAAAACCCATAAAACCCAGAATCCCTCGTTCACTGTCTCTTCCAGGGGGTGGAAGCAGTGATGCAGCTATCCCTGCTGTGCAGGACTGGCAGCTCCTTCAGGGCTCAGCAGCCATAACTTCTGGAATGAAGCTCCACAGAGAAGAGGGGAAAAAAATATCACACACTCAGCACTAGGCTGAGACTTTCTTCTTCTTTGAAAAAAGCTAAAGTATCCTTGCTGTGTTAAATATTTTGTGCTGGGAAGGCACGAGTGTTATGCTTATTAAATGTTTGGAAGGCACTTGCTCTTATCAGAGCATGATTAAGGAATGGTAGTTAATATCTTATCTAAGGCCATGAGGTGAAATGATGTCACACTCTTTTTGGCAGTCATTCCTTCTGCTGTCATCACCACCACTGGTAGTGGTTTGTTGCCTCTGCCTGAGTAAAATAAAACTTGGAAAGCCACAGGGACATTGTGCCAGCAACAAATATCCCAGAGGACTGAGCTCTGCCCTCAGTGTGCCTTTCACTAAAAACCTCTCCTCTGTGCAGCTCCTGTTCACACAAAGCCAGAACAGGCAGAGTTTCTTCCACATTTAGTCAAAATCAGGTCCAAGTCCTATTCGAAGGACATGGGGCAATGGGACACTGCAGGAAGAAGGATAACCATAAGGCTGCCCCTAAATACATGCAAGTAAAAAGAAAAATAATCTCTATTTCACACAGAATGGAGCAAAAAACCAAGTAGTAGCCAGAGCCCTAAACAAAACTCAACAGCTTGATAGCCCCTCGTGTCTGCTCGTCTAAATCACAGGTAGCAGGCAACAAGCTATTTTTATGACTTGTTTGTGGCACCAAGAGATAAAACCCAGAGCCTGCTCTGGATCAGCCTCCAGCCAATGCCACCTTCACACCTGCAAGGACCTGAGATCAAATCAAACCACAGCAGGGGGTTTCTGTTGGACACAGAGTGAGGCAGATGGAGTGACAGTGGGTGACAAAACTCATTAAATGAGCCAGAAAAGTCATCTTAAATCCAGCACAAACCTGCTGGCTGATGAAACCCTCCCTCTGCCTGAAGCCCAGCTCCAGGGAAGGAACCCTGCCAGACCAAAATTGTCAGGAAGAAGGGAGCCACTAACCACAGCAGCCCTAAACTTAGCTCAGCAGCTCCCTACAGACCAACTCAAAACCCAGGCTCCACCCAGCAACAGAACAAACCTTGACCCCAAATGATTCCCAACACCAGAGGGGCTGGTTTTGCCAAGCACAGAGCTGTGTGTAACAGGGTGGCTGTGACAGCATCAGATCTAACCTTCATTTCCTTCGAAATCCCGGGAAATACTCACCCCTGACCCTCGGACAACACTGAGCAGCACGTGACAACTGCTGGTAACAACACAAACCTGGCTGTGTTTTCCTGTCAGGTCCTTTGGCTCTGCTGATTCCAGCTATAACGTTGCATTACTGTTAAATATGCAGGATTTGGTGCTGTTGCCATCAGTGCTTGGTGGAATTAAAGAGCAGGGTCAGAGTTCCCAGCGATTTCAGCCATTTAGGATGTGTTTCTGATGGTTTTGGAGGTGATAAAAATCCAGATTTATATGCAGGTGATATAAATCAAGACTATTACTAGGAGACCTTTCCCCCATGTAAGGATGGACCTCTCTCTACCTTTACACTTATAACTGTTTTCTTCCCTGCCTGTTAAA